TTCGTAAAAATATTAGTGTAACACATTTTCAAGTTTAGTTACAAATATTTATGTATTTAATATAAATTAAATGATTCAGAATAAAATGCCCATAAAGATCCGATACTTTGCTCATGTAAAGGAGGAAAATCATAAAGAATTAATGCTTTTATGGGCCATTTCTTTTTTTTAAAAAATATTTAATTTATATTAAATAAATAACCTATCGGTTTCTTTTTTGTAAGAATATTACTGTAATACTTTTTGAATTTTACTTACAAACATTGACGTATTTATCATAAATTAAATATTTGAGAGTAAAATGCCTATAAAGAACTGGTACTTTGAATAGATAATGTCCATTTGCTTATAAACTATAACCCTTAAAGTTTATTAATTGTTAATTGATTTGTAGTGTTTTGTTATTCTTTTGCTAATACTACTTGGCATGTAGCACAAAGGGCAAATCTGGTATAAATGTCTTATTTCACTCCCTAAAATAATATTTTAATGGCACTATTTCTAGCTTGGACTGAATATGCAAGGAATCAGTAAGTTCAAGGGAGGTCAGTGCTATGTCTTAAACTACAGGGGAGGTGACTGCTAGTGTCAAAAACCTTAGGGGAGGTTTCTGCAATTTTCCCTTTGAAAAACCTCTCTTGAGGTTTCGCTTAATATTACTTAATACCCCTGCGGTTTTAAAAAAATCACTTACTTTCCTTACTTTTGCTATTTATATGACAAAATCTTTAAAAAACCTAAACTACCCTTTTGCTCCTTTTGTTAAACAAAAATACTCTTAAACCACTTTGTTTATTCCATTAAAAGTAACCACATAAAAAACAATCTTAAGTATTGCCACCATATCACAAAATTATAGCTTGTAAAAGTATAAATTTGAAAAGCAAAAAAGATATACGATAAATTATCCATTAGCACAAATTCAACTTTATATGATCAAAACCAATTTTTTATAAACCCTATTTTTTTTAGCTCCATTTATTTGAAATGTGTGTTATGTATGAAGTGACGGTTAATATAGCCATTTTGCAACTATTTTGAAATTGGTAATTCGGAATTCGGCATTGAAATTGAAATTTTCGATTTTGAATTATGCGAATTGGTTCAAATTTGGTAATGGAGTTTTTGAAATCGGAAATTGAAATCAAAATTTCTGATTTCAATTTCGTTTTATAATATATATATATTTATTTATATAATAATATTTTTTATTTCAATTTCATTTTATAATATATTTATTAATATATATAATAATATTTTTTATAATATATGAAATATAAAATTTATATTATATAACAATACATGTTGACCTTGGTCGATCAATCCTTGGTTTTGATGATTAACAAACCAAAATGTAGATTTGGTCTAATGTTTTTATGTGAGAAATTTGTTAGAATCAGGTTCAATGGTGTCAAGGAAAGAAAACCAACCAAATGAAGAAGCAAAATCAGGTCACTCATGTCGGACGGCCAAAAGGAAACTATCGGACGTCCGAAAGAATGAAGAACATCAAGAAGGAAACTCTGTCGGACGCTCGTGAGGAAGCATCGGACGTCCGGAAGGATCGGACGCACACCTCGGACGCACATCGATCGCATCGGACGTCCGAGAAATTTCGCAAAGATTTGATGACTCTCTGCCTACGTTCGGACGCAGGGTTCGGACGTCCGACAGGTGGTTCGGACGTCTGACAGGCACCTGTCGGACGTCCGACAGGCCAACGGCTAGTTTTGACAGCAATTAATATTTGACCGTTGGAGAGTCTTTTGGAGCCATTTCTCACCTTCTATAAAAACCCCAAAGCACAAGAAGACTAGGGACTTTTGCCAACACAAAATACAAGCTTACAAGTGAGATTTTTGAGTAGAAAGATTCTTTGTTGGTTGTATAAGGGGTTGGGAAAGTTGGGTTGTGAGGTTGCTCAAGTGAAGGTTATTCTCTAGGAAGAGTAAAACCTTGGTGAAGGTGAACCTATCACTTGGAGTGGTAAAACCTTGGTGAAGGTTGCCTCATTTGTATAAAATAGTTCTTAATTGGGTGAGTGATCTTTCAAGTGTAGGTTGTTGAGGGTTAACTAGAATTGTTGTAAAACTCCTTGGCTCAACCAAAGAGTGTTTGGGGTGAGGAAGGAGTGAACCTTCACTTGTACATCTTGGTTAGCATCGCCATCAATTGAAGAGGCTATTGGATTGATATTTGGTTTGCATTTCTTATCTTTTCTCTTTAATTAAGTTTTCTTTATTGTGCTTAAATTTGATATATTTTTGTGCATTATTGTGAAATTGTTTGTACTCATTGGGTTGCACCGGGAACTTACAATACATCTAACAAAAAAAAAGGAAAAAAGGTTTTCGAATTCGGTGAATTCGAAATTTACTGAATTTCGAATTGAATTTGGAATTGAATTCGAATTCGGAACTGGTGAATTTGAAATCGAATTCGGTCGGTAATTCTGCTACTAAATTTTTGAAAAATTTCAAATTCAAACTTCTGAATTGCCGAATTCGAATTCGTTGCACGCTCCTAGTATGTGATAGTTCAAAAATTTCCGAGTGCTAAGTGCTTGCTTTTGCTATCTGTATGTATCAAGAAGCAGGAACCAATTAATTCAAATCACAGCAGAAGATGTGCAAAATCAGAACTCGAAGAATTTTCAAACGTCAATTTCTGAAAAAGAGGAAAAAAAAAACTTTTCCACAAATTTCAAGTTTAAACACCAAATAGAAGACATTACCCCTAAATCTGCCAATACTTCAACCAGTTGTGGAGGAAATCAAATCCCTCTTACCGCTGACATATTCTTCTAGCTAATAGGAAGTTCACACATGTATTGATTAATCCTACTAACTAAAACTATATATGACCATGGAGGAAAAGCATTCTTCATACATTACAACAAACAATACCAACTCAGTACTAGTCCTCCATCATCAATCGTCAAAAGAATAGCCAATACCAATTCATTGGGAAAGCTAGTGCAAAATAAAATTGGAAGTTGAAAGTAGAAACACTCGACATAAAACAAATACACTTAACATGTTGCTGTAGGCCTATAGCTCTTAATACAAAAGACAAGGTCAAACTATCATTTACGACAAGCAGATATAAGCAAATTAATCTCCAATATAACAAATTCAATACAACAAATACTAATCTTAGTACATGTGTGTACTTCTTCCAATGCACATTTAGAAGTCTTCTTTGACTATCTTCAAAAAGAAAAAGAAAACCAAGAAGAATTTACTCAAACCATTATTCTGTTAATATGTTCTTTTCTTTCCCTACAGGGTTTTTGTTGAGAAAACAGAACCAAGTACCAGTAGTAGTAAGGCATGTAACCATGGGGTGATAGTTTTTCATGCATCTACTATATGTTAAATGATGATGTAATTTAATTCTTGATATCGATTGGTTAATGGCACGCAGGCTTTTACTGGTTCGATTGTGAAGCACACCTGTAACCTTGAGACAAACCCAAGAATAAATGAGACAATCAGCAGACATCTGTTATCATTAAGGCAGCTTGAGAAAACTTTCCTTACTTTTGCTATTTGTATGACAAAATCTTTAAAACCCCTAAATTATCCTTTTGCTCCTTTTACTAAGTAAAAATATTCTTAATCCACTTTGGTTACTCCATTAAAAATAATCACCTGAAAAACAATTTTAAGTACTGTCACCACATCATAAAACCATAGAAATTTGAAAAGAAAAAAAGATACATGAAAAGAAATACATTAGTACCAATTCAACTTTATATGATCTTTTTTTTTTTTTTTTAGGTGTGTCCCGCAGGGAGTGGACCCCGCAGACTATTCACCACCCTCAGTAACTTGCTGGCAGCAAGGTTCGAACCAGGGACCTGAGGCTCCATCTTCAGCAACCTCAACCACTAGACCAAGCCCCTGAGGGCAACTTTATATGATCAAAACCAATTTTTTTGAGTGATGGTGGTAAAATGCAGTACGATTTCTTTGGTCATTTTGATTTAATTTTCATAGTGATTTAGTACAATTTAATGGTTTGGGTCGTGGATTGAGAAGAGATTGTTTTACCAAAAATTGGTAAAACAATCTCTTCTCAATCCACGACCCAAACCATTAAATTGTACTAAATCACTATGAAAATTAAATCAAAATGACCAAAGAAATCGTACTGCATTTTACCACCATCACTCAAAAAATAAATAAAATTCAGTTTACAATAATTTACAAAAAAATAATTGCATACCCATCCAAAAAAGGACAAAAAAGGATGTTAGAGAAAAGGAAAATAGAAGAAAGTGACTTTGTTTATTTTTCTTTAATTTTTTGAGCTCCGTTTACTTGAAATATGTGCTATGTATGAAGTGAGGGTTAATATAGTCATTTTGCAATCATTTGGGGAGGTAAGTGATATTTTAAAAATTTTAGAGGAGATTTCTGATATTATCCCTAATTTTATTACCCTCATCTTTTTTGCGTGAGCCCCCTATCAATTAGTGGCTTAGAGCAGCACTCCGAGAAGCCTGTAAACATCAATCATTACTTCATCATCATGAATTTCAGTGATCAAATCAGCTTATGATTTCTGAACTAGAGCTCATAGAGGCTGATTTTGGTTACAGGTTGGTTGATCCTTAGATCATATTCTTCCTTTTTTTATCTATACGTTCCGGATAAATTTGATTTTCTCCTCCATTCACATTAGGATGATTGTCAGTCAAATTCATATAAAAAGAACTTCTGAACTTTGGTTTATAGTCAAAATTTGAACATTGCCCTTCCTTTTTTAAAAACTGCAGATGTTGATCATAGCTATTGAATTTAGTGCCGAAGTACAAGCAGGAAAAAATACAAAGTTGTTACAAGGCTAAAAGCTTGTCAAGCCCCCTGCAAATAAAACATTATTCTGGTAATCATTCAAATGCGTTCACAAAAACTCTGATTCTTGTTCACGCTGATGCCCTGATTCTATGAAGCTGATCCCACTATTGGTTGAATTTGAGCAACAATAATCAATGATTGCATCACACTGATTTCTTCTCATTAGCATATGAAATTATGTAATTGCTGTTTGACAGATTGGATCACCTCAAGTTTGTACATATCCAGACACTGAAATCTGTTTATCATTCTTTGACAGCAACAAATCGTCTACTTTTAACTAGAAAGTTGCGTGTAATCTGTGTGTGCTTGTATTTCTATCTCTATCCTGTTGTTTTTCTAACTAGGACCTTCGTTGATTATAAATCACGTCTATTGAGATGTTCAGAGGGTCTTTTGATTCTTCCTCAAACAAAACTAACCGGTTCCCTTTGGGTTTAAGAAAAGATTTTGGTATGTGGTACCTGAAAGAAATGAAAAACAAAAAGGTCAGCCACCGGTAGCTCATGTTACTCGTGTTTGGAGAAAAGCTATAGCTTTCTTAACTCTATCCATATAGGTGCAGTTGGATAATATAATATAGATAAACACATGGAAGATTTTTTTTGTTCTTTAGGATAAATGTAGCATGTATGTGGTAACAACATACCATGTCTGTGAAGGAGAACCATCAGCTTTGAGGAATGAGACCCAATATCTACCAATACTGTGGCCATTGATCCAAGCTTCACCTTTCCCCATGGATCCAAGATTGATTGCTAGGGGATCATCACCCTCAGGAGCATCAAAATATGTCTGTTGTTTGCAATCAGGTTAATTTCCTTCTTAATTCACATGGAATTGAAATTATTAGCACTTAATTAGCTCCTTATAGTAGTTCTTTAGATTTCCAAAAAGATATTCAAAATGGGCACTTTTGAAGAGTTAAACTTTGGAGATGGAGATTTCTTTACAAAAAGATTTTTCTTTGAGTTACTGGGACTATTTGCAGGGTTTATATAGTTTTCCGTGGGTAGATTTTCTATGTCTCTGAATTATTGGTAGCCTCTTTAATTACTCAGAAACGAAAAGGGTTAGGCACCTTCTGTTTTCTAGAGAACAAATATTTCACTGTGTTATGATCAGATAACACTTACTAATTTTCTTGTCAAAGCTGAAGAAAATTTAAAAAAAAAAAAAAAAAGTCTCAGGTAAAGCTCTTGAACTATTTATCATTACCTTGTACCATGTGAGCTGTTTGGGAGAAGCAGACAGCTTGCTCCATTGAGCAGCAGATGATCCTTTCTCTGTGTGAAGTTGTAACCTCTTCCCTAGCAATCCTACCTATACAGTCGATTACATTAGCAGAAAGGTTTTTCTAAGCATGACTTCTATACCCTTGCTAAACAATCTTAATATTCTTATGATGAAGGAAGAAGCATGTAGCCTATCCCCTCTGTGAAAACTTAATTGTTGAAAAACTTTTTGAAGAGCCTGCAAAGTCGTATAAGATTGATGAAAAGAATAATGAAAATGTAAAAACTGCATTCTTGTTGGTATGTTTTATTCTTTTGAAAAGTTATCTTTGCTGGTATATAGCATGAACTGGGAAGCTTTTATATTTGAAAGACTGATATAAACATTTTAATTGTTTATTAAGAACCTGATATCCCCAAGCTGAATTTGTGAGATCATTGGTAGCTTGACTGTTCTTTAATCTAGCACCGTCCAAGCCAAGAGATCTGCGCTCAAGATATGCCCCTGAATTCTGCATATTGCAAATGATAAGATGAATTATCACATAGGCTGTTAAGAGTAGTTCAAATTATATCTCTGTTCTCTGACACAGAAAGTTCACAGTAACGGGATAAAGAAAGATGCTGTCTTTAGGGAAACCATTGGTGCCTTTGAGTAGGGATTTTAGTGCCTCGTTCAGATAGCGACAGCATTTTCTATTCCTATGATTCTCTGGAGAAGTTTCTAGTACAGAATATTTTCCTAAAGACAGGTTTCACTACTGGAGAAGGTTTCAATGAAGAACTTGCGGAGATTCAAACTTGGGGAGATTCATCTCTCAAAGATACTACATAGGAAACGATTAGAGGGAAAGAAATGAGATGCTACTATGGAAAGATTCTGGACCATTTTGTATGTGGCCTATGCATTCATTTCAGATGATAATGTCAAAGGGTTCGGTAGATTTTGTGGAGTATGTGACATCAAGATGCTGGTTATTGTTGAAGTCAAGAAAAAGCTAACAGGAAATAAGATACATATGCAAAATTTTACCGGTAATCCAACGGTCAAACTGAGCAAGGAGATATTATTCCTCCCGTGATGTAGATTTATAGTTCTTTCCAACGTAAAAGCTGGATTTTTATGATCTCCATGTGCAGAACCTGAAGAAAAGTAAAAGGTGAGCAGTCGAATGGGAACAGTGTCATTTTTGCAAGTTTCAATTTTCCTTGGAGCTAAGTTGTGATTCATTGTCCAGAGTGCATGTGGTATTCAACTTTGAAAGACGGTTTAAAAGCAGTAAGATAGTGATTTTAGCCCACATCCTTGCCTAATTCTGACTCTTTTAAGCTTTACAGTTATGTGTTATTGCACCAAGAATTGATCTGCCAGCTACATGATTTTCTTGTTGCAGACTGATTCCCAGTTCTGAGTGAAAACCTGCTATTCATGATGCATATATATGATGAGTCTTACCTGCATGTTCTCCATTAACAAATGCATGTAAAGCATGTCCCCGGGAGTCGACAGTGAGAAGCGACTGAGCTTTTGATGAATTAACACTGTCATTGCAAATGTTAAAGCTGTTAGTACACGATAAGAATGAATTTAGCACAATAGATGTTGGCAACTTACTCTCATGATAGGTTCCTGGTTAGATATTGAAGCTGCGTGAGAGGTGGATTTCATTTTGAATGATTTAATCTAGAACCCCTAGTTATCATCTCCAATGTCACTTGGACTCAGGTATGGGTGTCAGATACTGGTATCTTTCTATGTGTCAGATTCGTAAACTTTCTAAAACCTCTGAAGACTTGGACAAGCGTTCAAGGTACCTCCAGTATCCTCATTTGTGATTAACATATTTACACAGTATAAACCAAATTAAATCATTTGTGTCCCTTGTCTAAGAGGAAAATACATAATTATATATGCATGTATGTGTGTGTTAATGTGAACTCCACCAGGATATCTAGCAGGTGCACTCATAGTGAACTCCACCAAGATATAAGCTTTTACCGTTTTCGTCCTCATCTATTTTTCTTCTTGTGTTTATTAACTTCGAGTTGTCCAAAACTTCAAATGAATCGTCCTCATCTAAGTGAAATTACTGAATCAAGAATTCCTAAAACTACTTTAAACGATCCAATAGGAGTGATGAAATCATAGGTTTTCATTCCATGTTAGTGAAAGTTTTCTGAGTGCCTAATACCTATTAAACAGCTGATATGGCTCTGCATCTATAGAGTATGATCAGACATATATTTCAGAACCATGTGCAGATCAGGACTGTGATTCAGGAGACCATATGACAAGGTTGGAAAATGGAGCCAAGAACTAAATTTACAGCATCTAGCATGCAGCAACCTCTATAAGGACATTATAACCACCCAGAAAGTAACTAAAAGAAAACAAAATTGAAATAAATATCCATATTAATCAGTAATACTGCACAGGAGATTTGGTTTTCTATAAACTGATATGCTTTTTATTTACCTGGTAATGTACCAGAGATAATCAGATTTATCTTTCGTAGTTTTCATGTGCTCCAACAATGAATTGGAACTTATTGAAGTTTCTCCAAATACAGGAATAGCTTCTCGAAATTCACTCCATCTGTCAACTGAGTTGAACTTCACGGTTGGTAGAGTTGATCTCTTGTAAGATTGAGTGGTTACCTGCTCCCAAATTTTCACATTAACATACATCAGCTTTTCTTTCTGCGGGTGCATTTGCGATAAGATATTCTATGGCATACAATAGAAAAATGTTGCTTGTATAAAATCAATACAACCAAAATGACTAGCCTTCTGATTTGGAAAAAGATTCTTAGTTGTGCTTTTTAACAAAGTTAAGGGACATGCAGAAATATGTTGCATGTGTTCTTTATATCAAAGATATAGTCATTGAGTAAAGGCATATATTATTCTTGCTAAAGATGATTTTTGATATTCCAGAATAAAGACAACAAAGCTTCAACTCTTGCCTTAGCTGTATTGAATGCTTCAGTTGCGCAGTCAGGTAGAATGCTTATTGATGTTGCAGGTAATTTATAGTGTATGTTCTGGAACAGCACCACAACTTCAGTTCTTCTATCATAGTTTACAAGGAAAGCTGCACATTCTCCTGAATCCCTGCGGAATACATAGGCCTATCTCGAGATAAGCTGGTGAGTATTGAGATACGTTGTACATGTGATAAATGTCTCATAATTTGTTTTGTAGCTTTTCTTCCCCTCACAAGAGGGTCAAGCAATTACTGGTAGAGTTAAAGAGTATATGATTCAGAAGAAACTTAATATAAAAAATGAAAAAACGAAATCTATCCGAAAGAATGAAGATGCTAATCTTACTTCTTGCTGCTGACCAAGTGGAGAAACAGATATGACTCCATGAAGTAGAGTCTGTGAGCATGACTTTATTACTGAATGTAACTGCTTCAGATGACCCCATTTTGGTTGCCTAATCAAACCTGTTAATATCCATGAACTTCTTCATTGATTAAAACTTAATAATGAACTATATATGATAGTATACTATATGTGATATTATACAGCCTCACTTACCGTATTCATCAATAGGAGCTTCATCATAATAGCTTGTGAGTACAAATGCTGAACCTGTCCTGCCAAAATTTGTACCGCCATGATACTGAAACACAATCAACATTAGCTTAAGGACCTTGTATTCTATGATCCATAATGGAGACAGTTTGGAAGATGGCATCCAGACATGGAGTCAAATCTTACTATATATTAGCAATATATGTAGGAAAAACTGGCTCAGTAAAGGCACGTAAAGTATCCCTCATAGATAAAATGAATGTATTTTCATCACAAATGGGGGAAGACTCTTTTCCTCTTCATCTAACTCTTTCTTTGTGGTTGTTTCTGTTACTTACCATGTAGTAGTTTACAAAGCTTCCGTTCTTCCTTGCTATGAATAAAGCAACGTTATATGCAAGGTCCTCTGCTGATCTTAATGGGGTCTTGTCACCATAGACTTGATAGCTTCAAGCAACAATGGAGGAAATTCTCAGAGATCATACCTATATGAATCTGTACAAGGAACAATGTTAGCGAAAACTTACAAACTTGTCCAATTCTCTGTCCAGATTGCTGGCTTGTTTGGTGAATTAGGCCCTACAAATGTTTCTCCACACGTCCTCCCATTACATGTGTTTATCTGCACATTGCTCAAGTTTCAATTTTCCATTGTCTCATCTGCGTTAGAGACATTACTGCAACAGCAGCCCTATTGCCTCATATTATTCCACTCAAAAGACCAAAAAATAACAATAATTGTAGAAAATAAAAGGTAGGAGTTCTGATGCATATATATTTGTGCTACATTTGATTTGCTTGAGAATTTTGTGAGGGTATCAGGCAACTTTTTTTTTGATGTTTGTATAACGAACTTGAGTTCATGTTTCATTGTCCAAAAAGAGAGGTAGAAATGGTTACCACAGGATCAGGGGCATCATCTTGCTTGCACATCACCCATGGCACACCCGTTTGGAGTCCGACAGCCATGGCAGCTGCCCACTGAACATAAGGCGGTCCTTTCTCGTGAAAAGCTCTCTCCGCATTTTTGTACTCATTCTCGATCTGCATAGCACAATCTTTAACTTCACTATTGAACATGTTATTGCTGAAGCATATGACAGCACTGCACATGATGTGATAAATATTTAACCTGTTGAAGAATGATAGGCCCTCCTTGTGGAGCATATAATCCTTCTGATTTGAACAAGTTGACAATTTTTGTTGTGAAGTTTTGCATATGATACTGTCACAAACCAAAGAAGGGATGTCAGATTACCAGCAACCGTTCTCATTTTTTCATCTGTTTGGGAGTGTTGTGCTCTTGATCAAGAATGTTTTCATTTTGTACTGTCAAATGATATACAAGTGTTTCTGGCAGTTATTTTGGTTCAAGATTCACTCTCCAATAAATCTGAAATTTCGAGTTCTACGTTTGAGTAACATTTCCACACTTCCAAACGGATTCTTCCCACCTGTTCGTCCATTGAAAAAGGAAAAAAAGGAGTAAAATATGCATCACCTTAAAGGGTTCATTATCAGATCGATAAACAATTCCTGGTACATCATGCAGCCAAAATGGTAGACCTCTGCAGCAGCAAATCAACTCTGTAAGTATTCAAAGTATAACGAGATGCTACTCCCTATCCTAGAAATCCTAAGTGCATTATTTGGTACATATGGCAGTTCCAGTCCGATACTTTTTAACTTGCACAAATTCCTGACAAATTTCCCCAAGTTGTTGGCAAAAGCTGCTTGTTTTATACACAGTACCATATATGACTAAGACAGGATAGATATGAAAATGAACTGATAAAGGGGTGTTTCTAGTTAACCTTTTTTAGAATGTAAAATCTTGAAGCAGCATATTTACTTTCACCTTGCATAAAAATTAGGCAACTAGAGTTTTAGCAAAACTTTCTTACCCGTAAGTCCATTCAGCCTCAATGAAGGGTCCAATCCGGATGAATGCATAGAGGCCATGAGCTTGAATTTCTCTAATGAATCTCACTATATTATGTCTTCCCTTAAAATCATACTGAAAAGTGAAAAGCAAAAAGGTCATTTCAGTTGAATTGATGTACAAAATATGCGTGAAAATGTACATAGAGCTGGAGAAGGTACCTGCCCATGTCGAGGTTCATGAAGATTCCAAAAGACATAGGTTTCAATCACATCTAGTCCACCATGTTTGGCCTTTGATATCAAAGATGGCCACATCTGCCATGAAAAATAATTTTCGTAACAAGACAATCTTGCTAATAATCCATCCCTTGGAAATTTTATATGCTTAAACTATTTTACAAAAATTAATTGTATGCATTTTTTTTTAACAAGAATGAGTGTTTAAGAGGAATTTTTCTTAATTAGATTTGTAGTTTTTTGGTTCTTTATTCTCTCACCCCTCTCCACACCCTTTCCACACCCAACTATCAACTGTCAGGTACAAGATTCAAATCCTGAAACTGACAATGAAGAAAACTCTAAGAACCCTCCTCTAACCACTAATTAGCCGTGTAATTCTTGAAATTTGCGGATCTTAAGATAGAAGACTGGGAGACTATACTACAAAGGAGTGCTTCACCTTTATCAATCGCAAGATGAGACAAGGTAGTAAAGTGAAACATACAGCCCATATTAATATCAATTTTAACCAAAGTTTTCAAACAATTATTATCAATAAAAGAGTGATTGAAGAATCCGTAAAAAATATTCGGAGGCAAAAATGGATAAATCTCTCTTACAAAAATCATGGGCCAAAGCCTAGCAGCATCTTTTGAATAGTATAATTTTAAAAACAAAATTATAAATATTATCTTTCTTGCATCATAAATAAAAAATTTTTTTATTTTTTTATTTTAAATATATCACATTACAAAAAGTGTTATATTACTCCAAATAATCACGTACCCAAACACGCTCACCTACCAACCTGGATCATGACTGAATCATGACATTTAAGAAAAGGTACCAGCAAATGACAGGGGTATCTTTCCCAAGTATGTACAAGAGTTTGCTGCTGATTAAAAGCAGTACATATCCCTAAAAGAACTTTTCAGCCCATATGTAGCATCAAGGCCTACTCGAGCGTTTGACCAAGACTTATCACCAATCTATCCATCGCAATAAAATTTGATCATATTGTTTGCTTTCCCCAATATCACTTCGCAGATCATACCTTTACTTTAAATTTTTTTTTTTATCAAGCAAAGAACATCTTTTTTTTTATGATACGTTCGAAGCCAAGGTAGAAAACTTGTGAACCAGTTTCAATTTCTGTGTGCTCATATTCAAGATTGAAAATTAGCTAGACTGATTGGTTGACTAGTTGAATCATAATAAGACTCATAACTACATTCATTTGACATTACAACTATAATCTTCTTTCCATTTGGTTCCAACAATTGCATCTTTCGTTCCTTCTTTTTCGACTCCCAAAATTATTTTTGGTAGAGATTATTCATTGGCCATCTTTCTTTTTTTTTTTTTTGGGTCAAATATCAACTATTTACAATTTTTTTTTTATACTAGTGGAAACGGGACAGACTCAACTGAGTCATGAACTACCCCTTCAAAATAAGAGAATATCCACAGCCTATAAAATTTTTCAACTTCATCATGTTTCAAGGAACCCAGAAGAATTTGATCACACGCCGGGCTAAACTAACCCAAACCCTTCACCCCTAAAAAGAAAAAGTGAACAGATTGATTTCTTCACTAACAAGACTTTGCTTACGATGAAAACCATATATATTCTGACGAATAAAATGAATTCATCTTAATTCATAACCATGAATGGATGGCATTGAATGGTATATTTTGAAAAGCACTTATCTTTTGGAGAATTGCTTCTTTTCACAATCACCTTTTTATTGTTAAATATTGATTCAAAAATTAATGCTGGATGGAGTGTTTCTTAAGAACATATAACTTTGTACAACTCTAAATTTCTTTTAACATTCCACAAGCCAAGACCAAAAAAAAAAAAAAAAGAGTAAATAAGCAAGAGACTGAGAAAACATACATCAGGTGTGCTTCGAGGATAATGAATTGAACCAGAAAACAAGAGCTTTCTTTGCCCTTCAATTATCAATGATCTTCCATCATAAGAAACTTGTCCTCCCTCAACACCACCCCTTGTAGTTGTCCACACAACCATTAAAAAGCCAAAACAGCTCAACCAAAAAGCACCCATCTCTCCTTAAACCCCCAAAAACACTAGAAAATCACAGCCAAATATGTTCTTCAAACTCTTAATTTGCATGTGACATCAACATATATAGATGGGTTTTTTGGCCACCTCTGACTGAGGAGGGCGCCAATATATATGTTGAAGTTGAAAAGGCTTAGCGGGCAAGTAGACTTGATCTTTGCTTTCATGTTTGTTACCAAGTATCTATCATGTTGTAGAAGTTTGGAAAGAATAAGACTTCTTGTTTTGGTAGTGACAAAACTTCTTTCGTTTTCACTTTTCCAATACTGTAGGAAGTTCAAACCAAGTAGAGAACAATTTGCCAAACTTAAAAAGGTAAGCTTTGGATATATGTTGTTGCTACGGATTAAATAGCTTGAAATATGCCATAAAATTTCCAGAATTATTTCTTTGTCTACCCCTTAAAAGCACAAGAATTTTTTTTTTCTTTGTCCATATGACGTTTTATTTAACACGGAAAAATCTTATAGGAAGCAAAGATATAGGAAACTTGCCTTTTTTTTTGTCATGGCGGTTGAGATTGTCGTGTATCTTGGGACGAAAAACAAAAAGATTTACGTCATAAAATCTACCTATATATACATATGTTTTTTGAGACGAGCTTTGAATATGTTGCTACGGAATAACTGCTTAACACTAGGCATGAAATATGCCAAAAAGAAAATGCACATAGTTCTTTGTCAATATGACGTGATTATCTAAGATAGGAAGGCCAAAAGATTGTGATGTATATTGTGGGAAAACAGAAAAAAAAAAAAAAAAAAAAAAAACTTACGTGATATACATGTTAGGGGGTTTTAATAAGGTAAACTACTTGTAGAAATATGCCAGCTCAAATCTTCAGTTTCATAGCATGATTTGAGCAATTTTGTGCCAAATATATTTTTCTGAATAAATGACAGCAATAGTCCTGCAACTTTGGTCCATCTTCCTGTTTACACCCTTAGCATTTTGGAATACCTTTAGAACCCTAACTTATAAATTATTTCTAAACCCAAGGCCAAATCCAAGTCAAAAAAGAAGGCCATTGGCCCTTGGAATTAGCTGCAGTTCAGTTTCATATTGACAAATTTGACAATGACCGATAAATCTATATGTCTACCACATTACATAAGCTTAAAAATACTAAACAATTTCCTCTTTAACAATTAAAGGTTTAACGTTACTTTAAACTTTACAGAATTTTGTTGATGTGATATGATATTACTATCATAATGTTATCGATTATCCCCATCGAAGCTGTCAATGGATCTGGTCCAACCTGTATTCGGTCCAATTTTTTGTATGCTATATGCTTTGCCTATTTATCTAGATTTGGCCACAATGCGATTTATCTACAAATTTTAAATTACTTGGATGTGAATTTATATATTTTGACTTGGTTTGGACCACATTTTAATGTTAACATTTTGTTAATAATTTATGGGTTTTTCTAATGAGTGCCCTTAAGACATTCATTAACACTCATAGCATTCACCTAACCTATCATATAGATAGATATACTAATCATTATTATCCTCTCTTGTATTTATATAATTTCTTATTTAATCTTACCTACCCTCCCTTGTATTTATTTACTTTTCCTAATTAATTTTATATTTTCAAAATATAATACTTGAAATATATCTTAACGAATGCATATAGGACACCCATTAGACAAACCGATGATTTATTATAGAATTAATTTTTATACACTGACAATGTATATACTATCACCATTAGATGCATAATAACTCATCTGAATTTAAATTTAAAATTCAAATTTTATTCATGTATCATGCATCCAACTGCGATAATGTATACACTGTTAGCGTATATAAAATTTAGGCTGCATTTGGATTCCTTGTTTTTGGAGGTGTTTTTGAAAAACTTTACTATAGCAGCTTTTGAAAAACTGCTATTGTCGTTTGGATTGTTGTTTTTGAAAAACTCCTATTTTTTAAAAAACACATGCATTTGGATTGAACTACTTTTGAAAAACACCTACACACAAATAAATTATTTGAAGGGTCCAAATGTGCAATTGGCTAATACCTTCAAGTCATTGCAAATGTTGGACAGCTCAAAAATGTCCCCTCCCGCAATTGGAAAAAATTAGTCGCCAAAGGTTGACCGTAACCCCTGTCAACAATGTGCCGAGAACTTAATTGGTTCATGACTTATTTGTACGCTACCATTCACAAACACATGAACTAAACTGGTCAACTGAATAATTACTAGGGTTCCAGAGCAAAGTACTAGTCAGCAAATATAATACAAAGGTGCAAATCCTGTTCAAGGCATAATACATTAAATGTAGCCAAATTAAAATTATTCGTTCAATCACAACAGGTGAACCAAATAAAAAGTAAGAAACTGCTTCCAATTTGGACCTATCGGTCCTAGGCCATGCACTGGAGTCTAGTTATTAGTATTCCAATACATGTGCGCCGCTATTGCCCGCCGAACTTCGTTCCAGTTATCTATGCCCTGCTGCGACATATCGATTGGTTGACCTATCTGCACTTGTTCCCCTGCTATGTGTGCATCTGCAAAGGCTCCATTTGCCGCTTCTTCGTTGAAGTACTCGTCATTTGGCACATAATCGCGCATAAAATTGTGCAAAGTACAACATGCAAGCACAATATTATTTTGCGTTGCTATCAGGTAGCTCTGCATTGGACCTTTGAGTATTGGAAAATGCTTCTTAAGAACTCTAAATGTGCGCTCAATAATATTCCTAACCGATGCATGTCGCCTATTGAACAGAGCTTTAGCTGCTTGCACCCCTAAACGGTGCCATAAATCCCAGCATATTTCTGTAGCCAGCATCTACCATATAATATTTCCCTGTTAATTTAATGACATAGAATTCATGTAAGCCCCCTACTCATTTATATGGAAACAAATGCAAAAACTGTCAAACAAATTTGAGACTATTTCCTACTGCCTTGTATTATAAGCATTTCGTTATCAGGCATATTCAAAAATAGCAAGTCAATAAAAATACCTTGTGGTGGCATTGGAAATCCCGAGCTTGGATCAAGCAAGGTTTCTTAGAGAATTCGGGCATCATGAGCACTACCCTCCCAACCGACCCGAACATAGACAAACTGCATATCATGATTGCAGGCAGCAAGTACATTCTAGGATAAGTCGCCATGCCGATTTCTAAACCTCTCTCTTACCTCTGCTTTACACTAAGCGGATACGTGGGTCCCATCTAAGGCTCCTACACAATCCTATAGAAGTTCTATGGTTTTAAAATCATTCCAAAGCGCATAAGAAACCAGAAAAATCACTGCCTTAAAATGAAGAACATACCCGGAACCACAGCATGAGCAAAGCATTGTTCAAAATCCTTGGATGAGTGTCATCAACGTTTCTTGGCCTAACGAGATCATGACCTAGCCGAACCAAAGATCGTAAGACACGACGAACGTGTCGATCAATCCTCTCCGTTGAATGCTGGAACCGCTTGGCTAGCACCCGGTGCCGCTCATCATGACTCAGGCACATTAGGGTTAAAGCAACGGATTCATGTACCCCCACTCTTTGAGAAGGATATGCATGCCAGTAACCCCGATTAACCAATAAATCGCACAGCAGAAGGAATTGAGGAACTTCAAGCGCATATTCTCAATAATTCGGTCTTCATATCCGTTTATCAGCTCAAGCACGTAATCCCTCCCCGAGAGCGCACTATCTCGTACTCTTCTTCTTCTGGGGACCTACTCATTTATATACGGATCAAAGAACATGACACCCAATAATACGACGTACATAAGGATGTTGTCGAGCTTCTCATCATCCAGCTCATCATCCAGTTGACCTCCTTGAATGTGCCCCTAGTTGTCCATCCCAAGGCAACTACTTTGAACTCTGCAACTGCCTAAGCGATTAAAGAACATTAAGCACCAGAATAGGTAAACAATAGCTGAAGAATATCAAAACGTATATTTAAAAAAATTGGCAAAAAAAGTTAGCAATAGCGCCATATGAAACAAGTAAGCAATAGCGAAACACATGACCTGTCTCATATAACTCAGCACAAGTTGTGTCACTACTCATTGTCTCATATCATAAACCGAAGTGTTACGGCAAGTGCCAAAGTAGAATGGTAAAACCACTGCCTTTATTTTGGCGAACTGGGGCGATTGCAACAGCATACAACTCAAATTTCATTATATCTATAGTCAATACCGCTATTGATCTCCTCTCTGTCAGTACATGATCATTTAAAGGCAAGTCCACGGAAAATAATAACCACTTGGCACACATTCCTAGCAATTAATATATAGTAAATACATTCAACCAATATTTATAAACAAACACAAATAAATTAATAGAAATATCCTCAATATAAAGAAAAAAAATAAGTTCAACCCTGTTATGTAAACAAGTGAAATATCCTCAATATAAGTTCAACCAATTATAATACAAGTGAAATAAGTAAATAAGTTCAACCAATTATTATAAACACTCAAAATGAAATAAGTAAATATCTAAACAAATATAGTAAATAAGTTCAACCAATTATTATAAACACTCACAAATAAATTAATAGAAATATCCTCAATATAAAGAAAAAAAATTAGTCTGGCCCGAGGTAAAAAGTGAAAAAATCACTAAAAAAAAGTCGAATGTCACCTCACAACTACATCTAAAGGCAACTCCACGGAACCGCATAACCAATTGGCACACATCCCTAACAATTAAGGCTCCGTTTGGGTTTGAGAGTTTTTGAAATACTTGTTTTTCATCTACAATGTTACAGTAATACACAAACAAAAACAACTCCAAAAACACCACATCCAAACAATATATCAAAAACAACTCCAAATATACAAAAAATATATTAATATATATTTATATATAAATATTATATACAAAAAAATATATTGTTTAATAAATATATATATTTATATATAAATATTAATACAAAAATTAATATTTGTATTTTGTTTAAAATAAATATATATACTTATAAAATTA